ACTCCATATGTTTCTCAAAACTTCAAGCTGTTAGAGCAGACTGATTTCATATCATAAACTTAAGACTATTTTGGTGGAGGGTATACTATTTAGTTGAGTGAGAAGCAAATTCTGGATGTGACTTTAAATACATTTGCATAGCACTTTTCAATTTCGCGTGTCCCGTTTATCCATTTCATTTCAATTTACGAGCATTTATTAAGCACCTATTCTGTGGACACAGGAGTGATTAAGACTCAAATGTGGGAACAACAGATGAAAGTGAATCTATGTCACAGAGCATGATGGATGCTGTTTTAGATGAGAACATAAACTTTGTATATGACATGGATGTTATTGCTCCTTATTTACTTAACCAATATTTTTTATGATCATTTTATGTTACCATTTTATGTGCCAGGAGATAAAATCTCAGAGTGGATCAGCAAGGTGCTTGAGTCACGTGCCCAGCAGGTGACAAGGCAAGGATTCACTGCAGGGGGTTCTCCTACATCCGTAGCAGTCCACTGCTGAGCTTGGGTCCTAGATGGGACACTCAGGGGTTCCCCTCTGCCTCCTGAACTTGGAGGCAGCTACACAACTTTAATATTCATCCGTCCATGCATTCATCCATGCCTGCATCCATCCATCCATTCATCCATCCACAGTATTTATTGAACATGTACTGCGTGCCATCTGGGAAGGCTCTGAAATGATGGGCTGCAGTGAGCTGGGATTTCAGAGGCTTCAGAATGGGGAGCATTGGCAGAGAAGCAAAGGTCAGATGGTACCATCTTGTCTCATCTGCTCACTTTAAAGGCGTTTGAGGTCAAAGTGCCTCATTACCTATTATGATTATTATCTTCTTCTTAAAATATTATTTAAAAGACTACTTTGCGTCCCCAACTGATTGATCACGAACAAAGTTTGAGCCCTCTTCATCTCTTCCAGAATCACATGGAGAGAAGACTACAGCTCAGTCCTTCCTGGTCATTTCTTCCTTTGATTCCCAAGTATTATTTCTCTGAAAATGCACAGTTCTGCTGTTGCCATTTTGCATCTAGAGATTTCATAGTCTGGTACTTTCTAACCTCATGAAGTCCCCATCTTTATGTCCATGAATCTCATATGTCACTCATGAATGCCTCGAAGAATTTTGAGCGATCAAGGAGCAAACATAAGTAACTCATAATGGGAGTTTAACAAAAGGAGCCGTGTGTGTGTGTGTGTGTGTGTGTGTGTGTATTTACTTACAATGTTTGTTTTTGAGAGAGAGAGAGAGAGAGAGCAGGGGAGGGCAGAGAGAGAGGATGACATAGCACAGAGCCAGATGCGGGGCTCAAACTCACAAGCTGTGAGATATGACCTGAGTCAAAGTCAGATGCTTCACTGAGCAACTCAGGTGGCCCTGGGAGGAGTCATTTAAAAGGCAAGTGATTTTAAATGATCAGGTAAAAAAAAAAAAAAAATTCCTACCTGTTGGTTGGACTTGCATGACCTGAGCTGTAAACCTACTTCAGGAACCACTCACTGTGCCTTGTAGTGACATGTAGAATCTCAGAGGACATTTGCGGCAGAGCTGGAGTTCTCGGTGAGAACTGACTGCAGGTTATACAGCGCAAACCGTAGGGTCTGGTCGTGCAAGTGGAGTCAGAAGAAACAAAGCGCCCCCAGCAATGGTTAGGGCACTCAAACATGTGTTGAGGAACCTCGGAAACCAGTTCCTCAGATGAAAATGGAAGGGGTATCCCATCCCATGGGCACTGGAAGATGAGTTGGTGGGATCAGTGAGCTTACTAAAATTAGTGCAACTTTGGAAAACCAGTGCACTCAAATAATCCTTGATATGTATTAAAACATATCTCCCCTTCTCCAGGATCCCTATAATGGAATCTTAGGATGTTTGGAAATAATGGTATTTGGAAGTTTTTTGATAATTTACTTCCCCTACAATGAAACAGGTCAGGTATTAAGTACCTCTTAGGTTCTATGGCTTAACTAATGATCAGTGAGCAGAATACATATACGCTCAGGATTTTTATGCCTAGAGTACTTGGACATATTACTTAACCTCTTGAGAGAGAATGTTGTGAGATATCTCATGTAGTACCTGGAATATAGTAACTGTTAGATCATAAGCTATTAAGTAAATACTTTGTTTTTGGGGTGTGTGTATGCTGTGATTGTAAGCTCTTTAGGGAAGAAGTTAAGCATGCTTTGAATGATTCCTGTATCCAAAAATGTTTCCTTTTTATCCTATCTTACTCATATCTAAAGGCGGTCTTACTTTGATGCCATCTAAGAGATATGCAAATAGTTTTCAGGGAAATACATTTGTAGTGATTTTCTAAACTTGGGAGTTCTGGGATTTCCTATGAATTCCTTCACTATGTAATAATGGGGTGTGTCTTTTGGAAATTATTTCTAGCTTTAGGTATCGCTTTATGGTTTTCAGAGTCCCTTACAATTCCTAATTAGTTTTTCTCCATGAGGTTGGATTATTTATTTCCAAGGATCAGTAAACGATCTGGAAACATTAATCTGAGCCAGGGACACAGCTTTTTTTCAAGATCAAAGAACAAGTGTTTGACTGGGACAGAACTGGTTGAATTTAGGGTTTTCAGTAATTGGTGTGACAGTTCTTCCTTCTGCAGAGAATAAGACAAGGGGCTTCTAGGAAGGACAAAGGGTAATCTCTGTGACCAAGAGCAGTGGTTCTCAAAGTGTGGCTTAAAACCCACTGAGGTCCCCGAGACCTTTCAGGAGGTCCACAAGCCTTGAGATCTTCCGTTCTCCCGTAACAGGTCTATGTGAAGCCAGATTTTCGTTAAACACGTCAATCAAAACAATATGACACAACAAACTGAATACAGAAGCAGATAAGAGAATCCGGCTGTCTTCTTTTTTTTTTTTTTTTAATGTTTTATTTATTTCTAGGAGAGAGAGAGAGAGACAGCGTGAGCAGGGGAGGGTCAGAGAGAGAAGGAGTCACAGACTGAAACAGGCTCCAGGCTCTGAGCTGGCAGTCAGCACAGAGCCGAATGCAGGGCCTGAACCCAGGAACCACGAGATCATGACCTAAGCGAAAGTCGGACACTTAACCAACTAAGCCACCCAGGCGCCCCCGGCTGTCTTCTATTAATGCACACATTTAAAGAGACTTTAAGGGGCGCCTGGTGGCTCAGTCAGTTGAGTGTCCGGCTTTGGCTCAGGTCATGATCTCACCTCTCGTGGGTTCGAGCCTCGCATCGGGCTCTGTGCTGACAGCTCAGAGTCTGGAATCTGCTTTGGATTCTGTGTCTCCCTCTCTCTCTGCCCCTTCCCCACTCACAGTCTCTCTTTCTATCAAAAATGAATAAATGTTAAAAAATTTTTTTAAAAATTAAAAAAATAAAGTGACTTTAAAAATTTAAAGCAAAGCCACTTCTCTCTGTACAGTTTTTAAGTTTTGGAAAGTATAGTAATTTTTTAATAAAAATATGGTGTTTATGTTAACATGTAGTGAGTTTATTATTTTAAGTGAATTAGTAATAGATTTTTCAGTTTTCTCAGCTTTTATATTTAATATGGGTACATTACCTAGACATATAACCCACATAAACAAAAGGTTTTAGAGGTTCTCGATAACCATTAGAAGTGTGAAGGGATCCTGAGACTAAAATTTGAGAACCATTGTCTGAAAGATTTTGGCTTCTAGTACCAGGTTTGGAACACTTACAACTAGCTACTAGTTCTAAGACTTTTTTTTTTTTTTTAAGGTTATTTTTGAGAGAGAGAAAGAGGCAGAGTACTAGTGAGGGAGGGGCAGAGAGAGGGAGACACAGAATCCGAAGCAGGCTTCAGGCTCTGAGCTGTCAGCACAGAGCCTGATGCGGGGCTCAAACTCACGAACAGTGACCTGAGCCAAAGTCAGATGCTCAACTACCTGAGTCACCCAGGTGCCTCTAGACTTTTTTATTTTTTAAAAATATGTGACTTTTACCATATCATTGTATATAAAACATATAAAGAGGAAACTCCCTTATTTTGTCCCTAAGAAATGAAAGGATCTCACAAAGTTTGAGTACTGCCTCCTCCTCTAACTAGATGCACTCAATGTTCAAATTACTCTATTGGGCTAGTTTATAAGGTGGAGGAGTCCTCTTCTGAAAGTCCCTGTTGGCTCTGTTACTTGGGATCAGGGAGCGTGGGGGGTTGGAGAGCATGGGGTATTGAGATAATCCTCATTCATTGACCTGTCAACACATTTAACACCTGTATTTGTTGTCATACCAGGTTCTTTGGGAAATATATAGACTTTCAGGGCTCAAAATCCAAGCCATATAAGTTTTCGGGGAAGGGGTAAGAGTAGACCTGCAAGGATGCCTGAGGTCCATCGTGGAAGGCATGTTGGGATTTACGAGGGGGAAGGCAAAGAAAGGACCAAAGTCTCCTGTGTGTCTTCCATACTTCTGCATAGTCCTGGTCATAGGCAAAAGAGTAATGAGGATGAATGAGAAAATCAAAAAGAGGGAGAAAAATCCAGAAAAAAGGAGACAGTGGCGATGGTGCCGGGGAAGAGGTGATATTACTCTACCAAAGAGCTTCTTTGCTCTCAGTTCTGCAGCTGTGAGCTCTTCAAGACCTGGAGCCAACCAGAGGCCATGACACTCCTGGGAGACACTGTGGACTGTACTGTTGGCTCTTGGTCCTGGGAGGGCTTAGCACAAGATGCTTGCTCCTTGATATAAAATTTTCCAAAGGTACAGACTTTAAGATACTGTATAGGCTTGTTAAAAATCAAGGGTAAAATGAATAAGGTGTGACAAAGATTGATGTATACATCTGGGTGGAGAAAGAAAAATGACGATTTAGTTTTGAACATGAAAAGCTTGAAGTCTGCACCGAGACAGAGTTGCCCAACGGGGAGTTAGAAATAGGATCTGGATCTTGGGAGAGGGGTGGTTAGATGTGTTGCCTTGAATCAGCATCACATAAAGGTGGATGGTTGTATAATAACTGCATCTCCTTTGTTTTATCAGCTTTTCCATGTGGCCTATATTATAATTAAATTCGCAAATTCTCCTCGCCCTGATCTTTGGGTCCTGGAAAGATCAGTAGACTTTGGCAGCACCTACTCACCTTGGCAATACTTTGCCCGTAAGTAATCTTGCTTATTACTGTGTTATGAGGGTCTTTAATTGTTTGCAACAGATCACACTGGATTTAACTAGAAAATTAGTCTCTTGGTTTGGCTCATTTTTAACTTTCCAGGTCAGTGTTAACTTTCTGGTTTACTCTCAGAACATTCTTATTACTCAAGCATGTGTGCATTAATTCCAGGGCTACACATGCAGAACTGAGGTTGAAATGCCTTTTACGATAAAGCTTTTACCACTGTTTAGGAAGGAGTAGTGTACCTGTAACTGGGCCATAGCCCCAGTCCGTTCCCTTTTATGTAGATTCAGGGACTAAGTTCCTTCTTCATGGATTCTGCATCTCACATTGTTTACCTTGACCCTGTTATCTTCAACTAACAAAGGATGTCAGTGTCTCTGAAGCCTATGATGCAGTGAGATGGGTAGGCATTTTGCTTACTGAGGCACTGGGCTTTCCATGAATGCTCCTTAGAGGGCAGACTTGCCTAATGCGGAGGGAGGAGTTAGAACCACATCTCCAGACATTTTTGTTGAAAGTAAGTGGCCTGACATGGTATTTTCTTTCATGAATTAAAAACTTTATTCTAAGCTTTTTTCTAAAAATCTTAAATGCTTCTCTGTTCTTTCCTTCTGATGTATTTTGTTAAGAAAACATAAGATTTCTTTATTTTTTATTAGTTTTAAAAATGGTTATTTATTTTGAGAGAGAGAAAGAGAGAGAGAATCCCAAGCAGGCTACATGCTGTCAGTGCGGAGCCCAACGTGGGGCTTGATCCCATGAAGCATTGAGATCATGACCTGGGCCAAAACCAAGAGTCAGAGGCTCAACCAACCCATCCACCCAGGCGCCCTGGAAAAATAAGATTTCTCAATAGATTTACAAAAAGATGATAATATTTTATAGTATTAAAATGTTTTGTTCCTAGACTCTAAAGTAGATTGTTTGGAACAATTTGGGCAGAAGGCAAATATGGCTATCAGCCAAGATGACGATGTACTTTGTACTACTGAATATTCCCGGATTGTACCTTTGGAAAATGGTGAGGTAAGTTGATATGGGAGGATGGGACAGATAGGACTCAGAAAGGAACATGAGGATATAAACATTTTCGTAACTGTGAAACTTGCACTTTCAACATCTAACATAGATCACGATGGAAACCAGAACTTGGAATTAACTAGTAAAGGAATCACATCAAAGACTCCCAGAATGAGTTGGGTTGGAAATTCCTTTTTTTTTTTTTTTTTTAAATTGAGGTATAATTGACATTGGAGGTTCTATTTGAGGTCTCAAATTCTCTGGAAGTCAGGATTCTGGAATCAAGGCGCACAGGTCTTAAACTGTCTTTTCTGGTAGAGTGTTTAGAAAGTGGGTTGCTGGTGACTGAGGTGAAGACCCCTCCTACTGCCTCACAAACAAATATCCCCCTTCAGAGTGAGGAGATGAGGGGTAGGTGATGGGAGGAATCTCTGGTCCTTCTGGGCAGGGTGGGAATCATCTGTAAGGGAGGAAAGAATTGCTGTCCCTTTGAAGTTGCATTTGGTCCTAGTGAAGTCAGCTAAGCCATTGTTATGGGAGATGGGAAGACAGAATGGGGAAAATTGGAGAAGAATTCCATGGAAAGTGAGGCCATCATGAGCATGAAGGGAATGACAAATGAACTTTTTTTTTTAAAGTTTGTTTATTTTTTAGAGAGAGTGAGAGAGAGTGCATGTGCTTGCAAAGGGGGGAGGGGGAAGGACAGAGAGAGAAAGGGAGAAAGAATCCCAAGCAGGCTCTGCACAGCCTGACGTGGGGCTCGATCTCACAAAACATGAGATCATGACCTAAGCCAAAATCAAGAGTTGGATGCTTAGCCAACTGAAACACCCAGGTGCCCCTCAGATGAGCTTCTTTAAGGATGCCAGGCTACCTGTTTTAGGTGGAGCGATCTTTCTTAGCAGCTCTATCCAGTATCTTCCAATGATAGGTGAGTGGTTCATGTCTCTAATTGTTGGCACTTGGGCTTTATCACGTCAAGCTTTAAAACCAAACCTCAGGGGCCCCTGGGTGGCTTAGTCGGTGAAGCGTCTGACTTTCACTTAGGTCATGATCTCGCGGTTCGTGGGTTCGAGCCCCGCATCGGGCTCTGTGCTGACTGCCAGCTCAGAGCCTGGAGCCTCTTTCAGTCTGTGACTCCCTCTCTCTCTGACCCTCCCCGGCTCACGCTGTCTCTCTCTCTCTCTCCTAGAAATAAAAACATTAAAAAAAAATTAAAAAGAAAAAACAACAAAAAACCAAACCTCGGTTTTACATAGACCTTTTTGTCTTTTCCAGTCAGCTAGAGACTTCCTGTCTTTCAGCTTCATTTAGGTTTTTAGGTAACTTTCGCTTTGTTTCTTTGATTCAACCAAAAGTTGTTTTCTCCTGTTTATAGATTTTAACATTATATTTTCAACATTTCATAGTATTACAACCCCATAACTACACTGATAGAACAAAGGATTTGGAAATGAAATGGTAACATTTTTTGAGAGCCCAGGTTTTAAGGAGAGATAGTCAGAATTTGAAACTGGGAACGGGAAGGGAAGACAAAACTAGCAATGATATTTTTAGACATAAACAAGATCCAAGACCACCTACAAACTCTAACGGCTCAAAGAAACCAAGTGCTTTGGGGCATGTTATTTTTACTTCCTTGTGGCTATATTTTCATGAAAGCACTTTTTCCCCTTCTGTGTGTGATTACTTTAGATTGTGGTGTCCTTGATAAATGGTCGACCAGGTGCAAAAAATTTTACTTTCTCTCACACCCTGAGAGAGTTCACCAAAGCTACAAACATCCGCCTGTGTTTTCTCCGAACTAACACCCTTCTTGGACACCTCATTTCCAAAGCACAGAGAGATCCAACTGTCACTCGGCGGGTGAGTAGTGTTTCTAAGCGTCTATTGAGCTGTTTTTGTTACTTTTTTTGCTTATCAAATTAACTGCCTTTCAAGTAATCTTAATAGCCAGTAATGGTGTCGGCATAGGAGTGGTTCTGGTATGAAATCCTAGATGTAACATTGAAGTTCAGTTGTTGAAGAAAAATCGTTCTATTCAAAGAAGGTGAAGTCACCCGTCTGGTGTTAGCCTGCCATTATGACAAATAATACCCAAGTCTCAGAGGCGTAACAAAATGCAGGTTAATTTTTTGTTCATCTCACAGTCCAATGTGGGTCAACAGGTGGAATTGGCTCCATGCAGTCATTCAGGGAACCAGGCTCTTTTTGTGTAGAGGTACAGGCATCCTGTAGTACCTTGAGTCCACCTCTAGATCCTCTATACCTGGTCAGCAGATGAGGAAAGAGCGAGAGCATAGAGAGGACCCACCTGCTCCTGACCGCACAGGTGACCTCCATTGGCAAGAATTGGCGGCATAGCCCCACCCATAAGCAGGAGGCCGGGTGATGTAATCCAGCCACAGTGGAGGGGACGTGGGTGTTGTGAGCACTAGTGCTGCCTACTGCATTGGGTAAACATCTCTCACTCTCAGTGTTTGCATGGTACCCCTGCGTCCTGGGCAGAGAGGGGGTCAGCAGACTAAATATCTTAAACTCACTCTTCTCTCACCCTCTGATCTGCTGGTGTCTCCCATTGGCCAAACCCAACAGGAAGCCAGTGGGCAAGAGACCCTCGTGGTAGCCCATAGGGTTCAGCCCTAGAGCAAAAGTTAGCAAGAGAAAGAGAAAGGGGGTCCTGGAGAGTGGACCTAGAGGGTGAATGAAGACGCACAGGGTACCTTATAGAGTTTGGTTTCTCATGTGGGCCATATCAGAGAGCTGGAAGAGGAAGGCAGAGAGATAAGTAGGTTTTGTTACAGTTTTGATCGTTTTCTAGAAAGGCAAGTCATCTTGGGTGTAGGTGGCTTGCCTGCTGCATTTTGTGCCCCCTTAGCTCTCTCTGAGCTGCGGTAGGGAGGCCTACATTGGATACCAGGATGAAATGTACAGGGGAGAGCTGGGCTTTCAGGTAGACTGTAACCCAGACCAGGTTTTCCAGTTCCCAGATATTTTGCGGAGCCTCGACACAAATGTACCTCACCATCATTTTCCTTTAATAGTCTTTTCTGAGGTTGCAAGATTTGTACTCATATGTATGTATATTTTTTACTTAGGTGAATGTAGTTTTCTCTGTGAAGGCTCATCTCACATATAATCTGGATGCTCCTCATGCCAACGTAGGTTGCCTTTTGAAGTGGAGGAACAGAATATACCAGAATATCACACTCTCATGTGCTGCTTGGGGTGAAGTCTGAGTGTTTCTCTCCCTTGCTGCTTGCTGCCCTTAACACATGTGTAGAGAGAAACTTCTGTGACGATCTGCACGAGAGCTCCTAGTGTTAACCTGTCCTAGAAAACCCTTTAATACTGAATTTATCCATATTAACAACAGGCATTGTTAATATCTTCAGACCTAGTGAGACTTTGGCTGGATGCTTAGACACTTTAACAGGTGTTCGTTGGAAATCAGAACAGAAGCTTTCCACTGAGTGGATAGAGGGCTTTAAGAAGTGACTGATTGCAGCAGCAGCGACACAAAGATACAAAAAACTCTTGTCCTTGTGAATTCAAAAACTTCTTTTCGCTGGCAGCAGGGCCTCATGAGAAAGATTCTACACCCCTAGATTCCTCTCTGGGCCATGTGCAACTCCTGCCAAGTCTGAGAAGGAAAGGAGCTGGCAGATAGTGCCACCTGTCGTTGCTAGTTGGGAAGTCTCCAGCATACTGGGGGCCGTGCCTGGACGCTGACATGGCTTCCCAAATCTGTGGCCTGTCTAGGGGCTGATCCCCAGCAGAGTCTGAAGCCTCCTCTATCTGGCCCTTGGGAACTTGAACGCTGCCTTCGTTCTTATTAACCCTGAGCTAGCCCGGCTTTGACAGCTGCTGGTGGCCCGGCCAGCCTCGGCACTGTATCTGCTCCATTGCTGTAAATATTCTTTCCTTTTCCTGAGCCTGCACGTACTGGGTGCAACGTTTTTGATATTAGAAAGTTGTTTTTGGTAAATAAATGTGTTGGATTTATGAAACCCAGACTGACATAGAAAAGTGACTTGGGAGTCCCTTAATCCTTTTCCAACAGGCTATACTAGAGTGTGCTTATTTTCCAAGGCAATTTCCCTCCATTCTTTTAAAGCCTTGGACTTTTAAAAATACACAATTTCAGCAATATGCTATGACATTTGATTGAGGAGTGTTTTATTTTATAAGAGAAGTTACATCCAAATGCTGCTCCCTTTTGATTTAAGGTAGGCTCAAGAATACAGGGTGGAAGGGAAGAAGGTCGATACAGGTGTGAGTTACATATGAGTAGAGCGAAATTTGTTGCTGTTTAGTAAAACGGAGACTACTGTCTTCTGTTATATAGTATTATTACAGCATAAAGGACATCAGCATTGGTGGGCGGTGTGTTTGCAACGGCCATGCAGAAGAGTGCAATGCAAACAATCCTGAAAAATTGTAAGTACATTGTACACATATTTTTCAGCCTTGCTGTGAATGTCTCATTGTTTCAGTAGATGTTTGAGTGTCATTAAATATTTCTAAGTTCTTGCCTTCCATAGGAATGTTTCACTGTCAACAAATAAATGGTGTGTGTATTTCTCCCCTCCTCTGGCTCTGCACTTGCTTCCACGTTCCCCAACCAGCCCGTGGCAGATATGGCTAATCAATCACAGGGATCTGGGTGTGGGCCCTCATACCCAGGTAGTGCCCCAGGCATCCACGAATAATTGATAAGAGTTAGCAAGAGAAATAAAACCTGTTTGTCACCCCTGGTCTGATGAGATTGGGAGTATACGTTTTCAAATCCTTTCTTCTTTTCATTGTGGTAAAATACCACATTGCGGTAAAAATGTAGTGTTTACTATCTTAACCATTTTTACGTGGTAGTGGCTTAAGTGCAGTAGGGTCAAGTTGTACAGACAGTCTCCAGAGCTCAATTTATCTTGCAAAACTGAAACTATCCCTATTAAACAACAAACAGCTCCCCATTCCTCTTCCCCAGCCCCTGACAACCACTTTATTCTTTTCTGTCTTTACAAATTTGACGACTCTAGGTACTTTATATGAGTGGAATCACACAGTATTTGTCTTTTTGCAACTGGTTTCTTTCACTTCATATAATGTCCTCAAGGTTCATTTGCGTTGTAATCTGTGTCAGAATTTCCTTTATTTTAAAGGATGAATAATATTTCATTATGTATATACCATATTTCACCTGTCCATTCATCTGTTGATGGATATTTGGGTTACTTCCACCTTTTGGTTATAGTGAAGGACGCTGCCATGAACTTGGGTGCACCCATTTTGTTTTTAATTGAGATCTTTTTTACATACAATAAGATGCATGGATATTAAGTGTTCAGCAACTGTAGACACTCGTGTTATCAATACAAGAGGGATGCTTTTGTGGCTGGAAATGATTGGATGCTAGATATAGTAATAGTTTTCTTTCGATGTTTTGTTTAGAATAGATAATTCCCCATGAACAGCATTTAGCAGAGACGTTTTACTTTTTTTTCACTTTATTAATGATTTATTTTTTACTTTACATCCAAGTTAGTTAGCATATAGTGCAACAATGATTTCAGGAGTAAATTCCTTAATGCCCCTTACCCATTTAGTCCATCCCCCCTCCCCACAACCCCTCCAGCAACCCCCTGTCTGTTCTCCATATTTAAGAGTCTCTTCTGTTTTATCCCCCTCCCTGTTCTTATATTATTTTTGCTTCCCTTATGTTCATCTGATTTGTATCTTTAAGCAATTCTTTGTGGGTACCAGTATGATTCAAACTGGTACCCATCCTTTATTTTTCCTTTTGCAAGAGTAGAAAAAACTTTTTATCTGTCAATGAGAGTATTTGGAATATATGTTCTTCAAGCAGTCTTCCCTAAATTCTTTCAGTTCACTTTATGCAAATACGTTATTGGCAGTGAGCTGCAATTGTCTCTCTGATAAAAGTCCATGTGGATTCTAGCAACGATGAAAGTGTGGTCAGTGAAATCTGTGTCCATTTACTTTAACAGGCAGCCACTGGGAGAGGGATGATACCTTCTCTTTGGAGTATAACTGAGTATATGCCATCCCCCACCCCCACCCCCTTTTCCCTCAGAAGAGTTGGGAGAATTCCCACAGGCACAGCAGCAGCTGTTCTGAATCCTCTTTCAAGCACAGATGAGTGAGAGCACAGAGCCTGGAGTTCTCCAATACCATGGCAATGTTTTTATTTTAACTTGGAAACATTTTAAGGCCAATGTGTAATTCTTTGAATGCAGATTTCTAGACTGTTACCCCTCTGCCTTGCTGAGTAATCTCAGTTTCTTGGCCCTGCCAGGAGCTGTTTGTTGGATCTGGGGCAGCCTCTTGGAGCAGGGTTTTCTGAGATCTTGTTAGAAACCGGCTCTTGGATTTGGTGGATCTCTGTGCATGACCCCAGGCTGAGAGCAAGGAACCTGAGCTGACCTTTCTCACAGGGCTGCTCAGGATCCTTGTGAAGATGTGTGACTGAACACATTCTAGTATACTCAGCACTTGCTTGCTCCTGGGTTCACTGCCTGTTACCTACGGTGGTACAGAAGAAAGAGCTGGGACGTTGGAGTCAGACGAACTTAGGTTTGAAGTCTGGCTCTCCGTTTATCATCACTTGACCTCTGGCAAGTGTTTTGGCTTCTCCAAATCTTATAGTGTCACAATCTATAAGATAAAGATGATAGGCAGGATGAGAGGGGGACTTGAAGTGATATATGCAATGTGCTTCCTAAGTATTCTGTGAATGGTACCTTGGGTAACTCTGATGACGGTCAGGTGTTCACACAGGAACTATTCATCTTAATCAGAACGTTTGAATAACTGAGATGTGCTTCACATGCCCAGGTTTCGGTGTGAATGCCTGCACCACACCTGTGGGAAGACGTGTGATCGCTGTTGTGCCGGATACAATCAGAGGCGCTGGCGGCCCGCCACGTGGGAGCGGAGCAATGAGTGTGAAGGTGAGCGCTGGGGGAGAGGCACCAGGAAGCGAGGCCCCGCCCACACTTCTGCCCTGTTTCTCCCTGAGGACTGGTGCTAAGTACCTCCCCCCACTCGGGAGTTTATGAAGAGGATGGGGTCCTGTCAGGCTTAGGAACTCAGGTCTGTAATGGAAAACTCACAGACTGGAGGCAAAAGTGCCCCATTCCAAATTCAGATATGAACATGAGAGCAAAAATAACAGCAGTAGTAATTGCTAATATGTATTAAGCATTCACGTAATGCTGGCCTCTCCTTTTTTAGCCGTCTAAAATACAGCGTAGCCACTGTTAAATTGTAAACACTCACCATTTCTTAGGATGCAGTACTAGATAGGGATCCTAACTATTTTGAGACAGAGATTAGGAGAAGGTAGTGAGATTGGTGTCTATACTGAGGGCAGGACGCAGGGAGCGGTGAGGATTCTGCAGTAGGATTGAGGCAGGTCCAGGGTGAAGGGGACCAGAGAAGGAAGGAAAAAAGATGAAAATGGCTGCTTTTATTCATGGTGTGTAATATAACGTAAGAAAACTTTTAACAAGCCCTAAGACATCCAACTGAAAATTTTCTCTTAAACTGATCTAGGAAAGCACATATTTATGTCAGTTGCTGAAAACATTTTTGTAAGTTTTATTTATTGGCTTTGGAGACTGTGGGCTATTTTTTCCTGTATATTTTTAGCATTTGAAGATGGTTTGCCTGTTTTAAATGACCAAAAAGTATTCAGATCCAGGTTTGTTGAGCTAGGTGGGAAAGAAAGAATCTATACCTTCTATTTTTTTGGCTAAATGTTTTTTGTAACTGTTAAGAGTTAAGACTGATATGGTCTCTGGCTGGCAAACACTAAAAAGGATTTTTATTGAGGAGTTCGGAAAGTGCTTTGAGAGGTTCTAACGTTGTTGTGAAGTGTTGATACTGCCCAAGCTGGACGCCCAGGTGCATCTCTGTCTAGGTCCACGATTGTTACCAGGTTGGCCCTTCTCATTTTCACAGCTAACAGATTCCCTCTCAGTGACTTCCTCGTTCCTCACCCCTGGATAATGGGATCAGAAAGAGGGAAAGGTAATGATCAGGAATGGTTTCTTCCAGGGCTTTTGAGTACCAGTCTAGGACATTTTGACTGAATGAGTGTTATCATATGAACTCCAACATTAGCAGTTTGGTTGGTTTTCTAGATTAGTGGAATCCTTCAGTGAATGCATGACATGCTTATTAACTCCAGCACATAGGAAAATTAAAAAATTTCCCATCATAAGTTTTTAAGCTGTGTAAACTTGTCAGAGTGATCACAAGTGACAAAAAACAGGATATGGAAATTAGACCTATTAAGATCCATTCATTAGATGCTTTCTAAATTGCATTTGAATTAGTGCAATTCAAAACGAACAGAATTCTTGAGAAATAACTAATGTAGTAAATATGAATGCCTTGAATTTTTTTTTAAATCATGGCACCACTGAAGAAATGAAAATAAGAAGGTGCTCAGCCTGTTACACACAGGGTTACTTGAAATTCTAACTCAGTCTTCTTCCATAACAGATTTACGTGGGAACTTGATTAAAACATACAAATTATTAGAAAGACCTGGAAGATTTGATCTATGTGGAAAGTAATGAATATATATTCTCTCTAAAAGAGAATAAAAATTTTACTCATGTTAGATCTTTTTCATCTTGGCAATGATGACAATCCTAAATGGGTTTTAAATTCTATTTGCTAGTTTTAGAAGTGTTATACATTACTTGTAGATAATTTTTATTATTTAAAAAAGTAGAATTGCCAATAATTTTTCTGCCCAAAGAGAACCACTCTTTTTTTTAATGCTTATTCATTTTTGAGAGAGAGAGAGAAAGCAGAGGAGGGGCAGAGAGAGGGGGGACACAGAATCTGAAGCAGGCTCCAGGCTCTGAGCTGTCAGCACATGGCCCAATGTGGGGTTCAAACTCACGAACTATGAGATCATGACCTGAGCTGAAGTCAGATGCTTAAATGACTGAGCCACCCCGATGCCCTCAAAGAGAACCTCTCTTAATAGTTTGTTATGTCTTTTAGTGTTTTGTTCATACAGACTTTAGCCTTATTATTTAATGTATATTAGATTATTTACACAAGTATTTCTACAATTTTATATCCTGTTCTTTTTCACTCAATGCTTGTAGATATTTCCCCATATTATTAAAAACTCTTTGACATACTTTTGGATGGCACACATATTGTCATTCTTTGGATTTAAGCACATCCAACAAGTGTTTGTTGAATATTCACTATGTGCTGGGGGAAGGGGTGGTGGTGGGGACTATGTTCTATTGCAAACAAAGTATGAGGTATCTCTGCCTTCATAGAACTGACAGTCAAGCAAATATGCTGTTGTTTGCTTACCATTTCCTTATAGTTAGACATTAAGATTATTTCCAGTTTATTGCTACCATAAATAGTTCTGAGATGACAAACCGACACTGTTGACAGAGGGAGTAGTTTTTAGAGTCAAATACAGATCAGGATTCTGCCTCTTACCACTGACACCCTTTAACCTCTCTAAGCCTCAGCCTCCCCATTTGGGCTCTGGAGATAATAGTACCTACCTTAGAGAGTTATTGCATACATTAAATGAGATACTGCACATAAAACACTTTTCACAGTGTACCAAGAGCTCACTTGTTCTTGTTGGTAGTAGTAGTAGTGGTAGAAGTAACATTCTCATTGTGTATGAAGCATACTTGGCATTTTGGTTTATCTCCATTTGTTGTAATTATACATTATATTTATTTTTTTAAAAGAGAAACCTCTCCCACTCAGTATCAAATGTAAGAAGCTGTTCATTGCATATTGTTACAGGTTAGTCTTTGTGTGAAAAATCCCTAAAACTTTCCCCTGAGAGTATGGTGTTCCAGAATAGACTTTCTTATGGCTGAATGAGTGGTAATCCTATCTAGGAGAATTTTTTAAGTGTCTCATTGTAATGATGGAATATTAACTCAGAGTGGCTTTTTCAGCATGCAACTGCCACGGTCATGCCATCGACTGTTACTACGATCCTGATGTCGAGAGGCAGCAGGCAAGCTTGAATATCCAAGGTGTCTATGCAGGTGGAGGGGTCTGCATTAATTGTCAGGTGAGTCACTATTTAGGTCAAAGGGGATATGTCACCATAGGAAAGGAGCATCTTTAAGTCATGCTTCCAGAAAAATGTCAATAAGTGATGCAATTTAAAGTATTTTCTGCAGGGGCGCCTGAGAGGCTCAGTCGATTAAGCATCCAACTTCGGCTCAGGTCACGGTCTCATGGTTCGTGGGTTGGAGCCCTGCATCGGGCTCTGTGCTGACAGCTCAGAGGCTGGAGTCTGCTTCGGATTCTGTGTCTCCCTCTCTCTCTGCCCCTCCCCTGCTCCTGCTCTGTTTCCCTCTGTCTCAAAAATAAAACAAAAAATTAAAAAAAACTATTTTCTGTAGACATTACTTTTGTATACAGAAGTCCTTGTTAGTTGGCTGTCATCCAAGGATTGTAGGGAAAATGGACTGAGACATGTTTGCCCAGATTCTATTGATTATGTTCTTCATTTAGATCTTTGCCTGAATGGAACAGACAATCCCTGGCTGTCATCTCAGATGCTCTCCATCTTGTGATAGAAAGGGAGGGCGAATAGGCGTCAGCTTCTGTGCTGATACCAAATCTCGTTTTCAGACAGTCTCTAAATCTAGACTCCGTGAGGAAGTACCTCATGATCAGTTAACGGAGGCTGCCATTGGCCCTTAATAAGAAACACTGATTTTTTATCCCTTCTGTAGGACAGTTGGGTTCACTAGAAATTAGCCAAGAGGAATGTATGGCAGAGGGAGGCACAATGTTCGTGAATTTGGTCCATATTGTCACTCTGTCCTGTGTGCCTTTAGAGTGATGTTTTATTGTTAGTGCTATAGGGGCACTCTGTTCATGAGATGCCCATTTATATGGAACTAGGCCACAGATCCTTAATAAGATCCACCATCATCTTTCCCACATTCGACACATTTTATACCATTTGTTACTGCAGTTAATTAATATAAGTGAAGTAGAAGTCTTAAGTTTGTTACAAATCACAGGCTCCATACATCCCAGGATCTTTTTAAGACTATGTTCTCTAAGACCCTCAGGTGATTGTTTTGCTCATTGAAGTTGCAGAAGCATTGCACTGGGATGTGTGGGTAGAATCCTTTCTCTAGATGAAGGATTAATGTATCTTTAAAATGTGTCCTTCAACGTGTCTTTAAAATACATTGTTCTTCTTCTTCCTTCTTTTAGAGATATTCTGTTTTATACTTTGCTGTTCTAGAAATCATCAGTGTGGTCCTTTTTTTTTTATAGTGGTCCTGTGAAAGCATTTTTCTTTTGCATATGAAATTCTTGAAATTTGTTTACGTTCATTGCAGTTTTTTCCAACTTAAACTTGAAATGCCTTGTTTAAGTTACATACTTAGCATAATTAACTTAAATTTTGTATTGTGGTAAGGTATATATAACATAATATCTACCATTTTAAGATAATTATCTTCCTAAACTTATCTAAAGGTTGAATGCAGATTTTTTTGGTAGAAATTGACAAGTAGATTCTAGTTTTTCTTTAAATGTTTATTTGTTTATTTTTGAGAGAGAGAGAGCACGTGAGTGAGCAAGAGAGAGTAGGGGAGGGGCAGAGAGAGAGAGAGAAAGAGAGAGAAAATCCCAAACAAACTATGAGATCATGACCTGAGCCGAAATCAAGAGTCAGATGCTTAACTGACTAAGCCACCCAGGCACCCCAGACAAGCAGATTCTAAAGTTTATATGGTTACATAAATGACCTAGAATATACAAAGCCATTGTGAAGAAGGAGAATAAGGTTAGAGAAGTTGCATTATCTTACTTAATGACTAAGGATAAAGTTACAACAAGCACAACAGTGTGGTATCAACATAAGAGTAGATACATAGATCAGTGTTACAGAATAGGGAGTATAGAAACAGAACCACACGTATATGGACATTTGGCTTTTGATAAAAGTACCAAAGCAATCCAGTGTGGAAATGGGGGTGGGGGAGAAGTTCCTTTCAACAAATGATTCTGGAATAACAATATTTCTACGGGAAAAAAAATAAACCTTGATCACTACCTTAAATTATACATAAAAGCTAAATCTATATGGATCTGACTAAAGTAAAGTGGAAACTGCAGTGGTTTAGAGGAAAATATAGAGGAATATCTTTGTGATTCAGAACACGAGCAGAGTTTTTTTTAGGTCACAGAAAGCAATGACCATGAGAAATTGACAAATCAGACCATCAAAATTTAAAACTTCTGCTCACATAACACTATTAAGAAAGCAAATAGGCTGGCCACAGATGTGGAGAATATTCACAAAACCTAAATCTGACAAGTGGTTGGTATTCAGGTTATATAAAGAACACCCACAGCTCAATAATAAAAAAGACAAATAACCGAATAAAATATTTTTGGATTTGGATAGCCACTTCACCAAAGTAGGCATGTGAATGGCCGATATGCATACAATAAATGTCTTAAGATCATTAGTCATCCGAGAAAGGCCAATTAAAGTGATAATAACTTACTGTCAAGTTTGGCGAGGATGTGGAGCACCCATATGTCTCATGCATTGTTGATGCGAATAAAATATGGTACCACCACTATGGGAAAATGGCAGTTTTCAAAAATAAAAGTAAACACACACCTACACCATGACTCACAAATTCCACTATTAGGCATTTATCCATGAGAAATGGAAACATGTTTACAAAAAGTTTATATAGTGCAGGTTTATGCACAATAGCCTCACCCTGGAAATAACCTAGGTGTCTATTAATAGTAGGATGGTTGAACAAACTGCCACGTTTACACAATGGAATACCAATGAGCCATAGCGAGCAACAAACTATTGATTCATGCAACAAAATGCAAGAACCTTAACACTATCATGCTAAGTGAAAGAAGAGTTACAAAAAAGAATGCGTAAAGTTCCAGGGCCATTTAAGTGAAAGTCTGGAACGGGGAAGACCAATCAGGAGCGGGAAAATCAGAACCATGGTTAACTCTGGGGAGGTGGTGATGGGACAGTGGGTGGAAAGGGCGTGGGGAACTTTTTGAGGTGATGGTGGTGTCCTGTCTCTAGACAGGGACTAGGGCTTCACAGATGTATTCATTCGTCAAATTCAGTGAATGTATGATTAAGAGTTGTGCACATGTATATAAATTTTACATGAAAAGAAAATAAACATTGAACAGCAGCTAATTATATGCATGCTAAAGTTGTAGGGTACAGTGACTGATATCTGCAATTCATTTTGAAATGCATAAAAAATCAGGTGGATTAATAGAGAAGTGAGTATGTGGGTAATGATGTGATACAACAAGGGAGTAAAATGTTAATGATAAACTGTACACAAGGCATGTGTAGATGTTCACTGTAAACTTTGAAATTTTTATAATAAAACATTAGGGGGAAAGAGCAATGAAAGAAGAAGGCAAGGAACACAACATTTGGGGGGGTTGACTCCTTGATTTCTTTCCTTTGATGAAATACTGATGTTCTTATTAAGATTGAAGATGACCCATGGTGTTTGAGAGGATGCTTGAAGATACTTTATCTCCGTTAATTAGATCGGAATCTTTAGCTTCTATGTGGAGACATGACTTGTGATCTGAGTCTCGAGCTTGCTCCCTAGCTGTTGTCCTTGATGGGTTGGTTGCATTATTTCCAAACTGCTTGTCTCCTCTACGTACATACACCACACAAAGCTAAGAGATGGGGTCAAGAAGTAGAGCACGTATGGCTACATTTCCTCCTGCAACAAACCCCATGATATGACAGAAAAGATTGTAAACAGGCAAAATATCCTCTCCTTCTGGAATCCACAATAGCATGAAAAATAAAGATAAATACCAGAAATTTCAGAAAGAGATTCCAGAAGCATAGAAAGTGGACATATCCATGCAGGAGAACATAGCCATGATGGATGGAATGATTAGAGGCACTCCAAGAAGCAGCAGATAGAGGAAGTAACTATGGAGCTACATCCAAACCTATAAATCCTTATTGGAGTTAATACAGAAAGACCTATATGGAAAGGCATAATGTGTTTCCAGACTCAATATATAAATATGCCACTTATTCAAAACCAGCCTATAAATTCAGTTCAATGGCTATCAGAATTGCTAGGAGATTTTGGGGGGTGCCTGAGTGGCCCATTCAGTTAAGTGTCTGACTCTTGGTTTCTGCTCAGGTCATGATCTCATGGTTCGTGAGTTCGAGCCTCATGGTTTGTGAGTTCGACCCCTACATCGGGCTCTGCACTGACAGTACTGAGCCTGCTTGGGGTTCTCTCTGTGCATCAACCCTACTCATTCTCTCTGTCTCTGTGTCTGTCTCCCTGTCTCTTTCTCTGTGTCTGTCTCTCAAAATAATAAACTTAAAAAAAAAAAGAGTTCCTAGGAGATTTTTTATGAAGATTGACAGGCTGATTGTAAGTTCTTATCAATAAAAGACTATAGAAGGATAGACACATCATTTAGAAAAGATGAATAATTAGGGGGGAAATTTGTCTTCCAAGATAGCAAAACATTCTCTAATAGAGAATCTACAAACACATTCATGTAGATGCTTAGATTTGGGTTATAGCAATATTGGCATTTCTACTGGAAGGAAAAGAGGGGTGTTACATAAACAATGTTGGGACATTTGGCTTTTCCTTTGGGGAAAAAATGTAACCTATCCTATGTCACATACAGAGGGACATAAAGAGTCTTGATGAGGAAGGGGGGCGGTTGCTGCCATTGCAGGGTCAGTTGGCTGGGTGAGCTGCAAGGTGATGCTGCAAGATGAAGTTTGAATTTCCTGGTAGAATACACATACCCTACAGCAAGGTGCACCTGTCAGAAACCAGGCTGTCTTGGGGCGCCTGGGTGGCTCAGTTGGTTAAGCGTCTGACTTTGGCTCAGGTCATGATCTCACGGTTTTTGGGTTTGAGCCCCACATCGGGCTCTGTGCTGACAGCTAGCTCAGAGCCTGGAGGCTGTTTCAGATTCTGTATCTCCCTCTCTCTCTGACCTTCCTCTGCTCATGCTGTCTCTCTCTCTCTCCCAGAAATAAATAAAACATAAAAAAAAAAAGAGAAATCAAGCTTAGTTCAGGCTGCTGTAATAAATATACCATAGAACTGGTGGTTAAACAATTAAGAGTTCTTTCTCACAGTTCTGGAGACTGGGAAGTCCAAGATCAAGATCCTGGCAGATCCAGTGTCTGGTTTGCAGATGGCTGCCTTCTCATTGAGTCCTCAAGCAGTGGAGCAAGAGATCATCGCTCTTCTTCTTCTTTTTAAAAAATTTTTAATGTTTATTTTTGAGAGACAGAGAGCAAACAGGGGAAGGCAGAGAGAGGGAGACATGGAATCTGAAGCAGGCTCCAGGCTCCAAGCTGTCAGCACAGATGTGGGGCTCCAACCCATGAACTGTGAGATCATGACCCGAGCCAAAGTTGGACACCCAACCGACTAAGCCACCCACGTGCCCCACATCACTCTTCTTATAAGGGGACTACTGCCATCATTAGGACTCTGCCCTCATGATCTGATTATTTCTCAAAGGCTTCGTCTTCAAATACCATTATATTGGAGATTAGGCTTCAGCATATGCATTTTGGGAGGGGACACCAGCATGTAGCCCATGCACTAGCTAACCTAGCTGTCTCCCACCTTTTCCATGTAGTTCTGTTAACGGCAGAATGAGAACTATCTGCCATCAGCTCTGAGCTGGGCCTGGGAACGTTCAGATGGCCAATCAGCTGGCATGTAGGATAGCCAGATCATTATCCTGCAGGGCAAGCATTTGTCAGAGATGGCCATGTTCTCATATGTTATTGATTTTATTTTTACTTCTGAGGTTTACTGTTTTAAGTATTGGTTTGGGGTATGGGACATCTGAATTAGGGTGGCCAGTTCCCTAGGATGTGGCATTGGGGTAAAGACCTGGAAGAAGCCAGAGAATGAATCAGGCATCTGTCTGGGGGAGGGCATTCCAGGCAGAGGGGGGGTGTCAGGGCAGAAGCCCTGAGAGGGAGCAAGGGACCCATGTGGCTGGAAGGGAGCAAGCTGGAACAGACAGCAGAGAGGTCACAGAGAGGCCAGATCATGTTGGCCTTTAGGAGGAAAATCAGGTCAGAGGCTTCCCGGGAGAGCATGGCCAGTGAGTAGACTAACAGTCTCTATGTGCTTGAGGTTCACGGAAATGGAAGCCAGCAGTAGTGTTGTAGATGTGGTTGAGAAATTGTGAGGAATTAAGAGGAGATGTGGGGTTTACTTGAAGATTGAAAAGTGTCTTAGAAGAGGTATGTTTGGAGGATTTAGGTTATGGTCAATGATCAGAGCCTGGGAGTTTCTAGGTGAGTGTTCTGTAGAAAGCCAAAGGTAGGGGTGAGTGGGGTAGAGGTAGGCTTATCTCCTGCATAGATTCCATTGGCACTTACCTCTCTTTAGCTTGAGGTTTTCTCATCTTGTGTTAAGTGTCCGGCAAATGCAAATTCAGGCACCCATTTTTCCCAGTGAGGCTGCTTCCCCAGCACCTTCTATATAGAAAATACAGAACTACCACTGTCCTTGGGTCTCCCTCTGACCTTGGTCCAACCATGGCCATAGTGTTCTTGGTACGTCATTGCTCTCAGGGGAAGCTGAGGGTTCTAGAGAACACCTGAGATTTGGAGGTAAACTACAGGCATCATTCCATCTTCAGGGGGATTTGTGTCTCTCTTTTGGTCATTTGTTGCTGTTCTTTGTGCAGATCTCTGTGGCAGATGCTTTATTAACCAAAATTTATGGTATAAGAAGGGCTGCCCACTTCAGAGAAGTTTTCCTTCTTCATTGGGAAAAATTTGGGGAACCAAGATTAACCTCACATCCTGTCTATTATTAGTCACCATGGCAAGCAGCAGAGTTGAGAGGTTAATTGGCATTTGATTGAAGGGGAGTGGATTACAGCTGTTTTTTATTTGCCCGAATGTTTATGCATGTAAATGTTAAGTCAGAGAGGTGGCCAGTGCAGTTTTAAACCTCAGTGTTAAAGTGAATTCAGATTTTAGCCCACAGGACAAGGAGTGGTAGTAAAGAAAAATCTGTAATTAATAAAACCATCTGAAATGGGAGCAGGGATTCAGAAGAGTCTTTGTTCTCCACTGTGATTTTATGCAGACTTCTTTTGGGTCAAAGTGTGTTATATTGTTTTTTTGTCGTTTTAACTTCCTACTGCATCTCTTTTCATTAATGAAATAACACTGTCTTTCTGATTGTTTCCTAATTAGAGAGCAAGAGCATTGAGTTGCTCTTGGAAACTGATGATACATGTTGGGCAATTTGATTTGTGACAATTACAAGGATTAACCATGACATATAAAAATCCTCCTAGTATTGTACTTTAAAATGAGTTCTGTGTAGGAGACTTGTGCCTACATTTCCCATTCACAAAACAGAAATGTTTGGAACATGATTTCATAACTAAAGCACAGATAAAATTGGGACAGCGAGAGAAGAGGATCTGTATGTGCCATTTCTTCCGAAATTGGGGAAGATAAAAATACACACGTGACCCTTTAGTCCCATTCAGTTCTTCTGATTGAGCGAGGAAGAATAGTGCTCCTGAGTTTTTTCTCACAGAAATGTGAAGTGTTTCACTGAGCAAATTCTGTGCCAGAGGGGAAAACCTGGGCTGTCTAGTTCATGGAACTTACCCTTATTTCTTTTGCCAATGGAAAAAAAATTCCAGAGCCACCTATCAGTCAGTGCCCTGTGGCAGATCTTGGAGATTCAAGGTCAAGATGAATGCTATTTTTTTTTTTTTTTTACTTTGAAATTGTAATTGTACGTGACCATGATTTCACTGGATGAACAGCACAAACTAAGGACTTTTCTGGTTCTCTTCCTTATAATTTTCTTTTGTTTCTTTTTAGCATAACACAGCCGGTGTGAACTGTGAAATCTGTGCTAAGGGTTATTACCGCCCTTACGGTGTTCCAGTCAATGCTCCACATGGCTGCATCCGTAAGTTTCATTTCAGCTTGGTATGTCTCAGACTGTCTGTACTTTACCGCTTTGGCATGGTCATCGGGCTAAACTCTGGTGGGCTATTAGTTCCCTTCCTTCTCTCTTTATTCATATTGTTGATTCTATTCCATCTAGCTGTGTAACCTCAGTCAGGTACATAATCTCCCTGAGCCTCTGACTTCTTATATATAAATGGGAATGATAATACAGACGTACCTTGGAGATATTGCAGGTTCAATTCTAGACCGCCGCAAGAAAGCGATTATTGCACTGAGAGACAATTGCAATAGAGCTGGTTGAATGAATGTTTTGGTTTCACAGTGTGTATCAAAGTTATGTGTATATTGTACCAAAGCCTATGTGGTGTGCAATAGCTTCATGTGTAAAAGAAGTACATAGCTTAATGAAAAAATACTCTGTGGCTAAAAAGTGCTAACCATCATCTGAGCTTTTAGTAAATTGTAATCGCTGATCACAGATCACCATAGCAAATATAATAATAAAAAGTTTGGAATATTGGAAGAATTCTCAAAATGTAACAGGGACACAAAGTGAGCAAATGCCATTGAAAAAAGACTGCTGATCAACTTTCACGATGCAGGTTGCCACAAACCTTCAATTTGTAAAAAACATAATATCTGTGAAGCACAATAAGGAAAAGCACAGTAAAACAAGGTATGCCTGCATAGTCCGTATGATAGAATGAAGTGCATCAGAAAAACCTAGGAAGACACAAAGCATTGGGGCTTGTCACGTACTAGCCCTGTCACAAATGTTCCTCCGTTTTCTGTTGTGACATGTTTTTGCAGGCTCCAGTAGTTTAAGATTTTTGTCCGAATTAGCATCAAGACAATATAGTAATGATCTCACAAGGATCCAGTAATAGTCATCATATCTAAAATAGCTATGATTTATTGAACACTCACTATATGCAAGGGATTGTGAAATACTTTCACAAATATCTGATATAACCAACTTACATTGTATTATTATTTTCTTTTTTAGATCTGGGGACACCAAAGGCTCTGAGTAGTTAAATATTTGAGCCCAGGTGACAAAACCGCTAACTGGTAGCTAGCTCCAGGATATAGGTCCTATCTGCCTGATTCCTCTCTGTGCCATTTTACATCCATGATACAGAGAGATGCACCGGGTTTTCCCTGGGGAACTGTCAGACGTGGGCCAGACTGAGGACTTTGCCATACATGTGTCATCTGTTTTATGTTCTGTGGCTATCGCCGTTGGAAAACAGTTCCAGGCCTAAGATGGCCACTGTGCCCACCACACCCCCAGATTCATTCTTCATACCATTATCATTTGAGGGCATCCAAGCCCAAAGAATGTGTGGACTCTGATTTGCCTCCCTTGGGCATTCATCCTTGTTAAAAGAGTGTTCCTGTCTTCCCTCCCTCTCCCACATCATCCCACGAAGTATGTCCATCATTTTTCTTGCTCCCATGAAGTATAGTCTTTAGCAAAGGAGACAAAGGTATTACAAATGCAGACACCTTCTCTGGAATCTCAGCTCTCCATCACTGTTCCAGCCTCTTTCTTCATCATTGAAGTGGTCTTGTAATCTCACAGAGATATTACAGGCTTAGTGTAAAGAATCCACAGGACACATCCATTCTAAGCAAGTTAAGCAGAGGAAACCAGATGAAGCAGGACTGGGGGGATGCTTAATGCCCGTGGCTCCCCTACTTTTCCAGTCTCTCACGGACATGTGCCTAGCTGGGTTATGACTGTTCAAGGTCAGGACTTTCCAGGTCAAGGAAAGCTCCTAAGTGAGGGGCTGCCAAGCCTCTTGTAGCCCAAGTGTGTCTGTCTGGAATGCAAACCTCATAGTGGTGTTGGTTGCAAAACTGCCTTCAGCAAGTCTCATCACTGGAATCTATTCAACTTATGGGCGCAGTCTCGCTGTGCTGTCCACAGATGACATGTCAACGTCCAGGCGTCCCGCACGTGTGACTGCATCACACCTGTGCAATGATGACCACCACGAACATTCACAGCTGGCTCGTGGCCAGGAGGGGCTGTGTCCAAAAGACCTACCGGGGCTACAGCAGACACCCACCAGCCGCCTCTGACTGCAGTTTGTGCAGACCTTTCCTCTCCTGCAGTGAGCTGGGCAGTGCTCAGTGTGATAAACTGTATTCTGGAGAACTCAGTGTGGATGGCTTTTGACAAGCTTCTCTCTGGGGGCCCCTGGTGTTTGATCAATGCAAACTATTGTTGAGGTATGAAGTAGAAAACAGGGTGTGCCCTTTCAAGAATAACCGTGGTCCAATAGTAGAGCATTAAACATCGCCTGAGAAGTCCTGGGGACATAGCTACCACATTTAGTCCAGGGAAGGGAAGGACCACTCTCTGAAACCTGGCATTTCTCGTAGCTTGCAGCTGTAACCCCGAACACGCTGATGACTGTGAGCCGGGCTCAGGCCACTGCAAGTGCAAGCCAAATTTCCGCGGAGAGCACTGTGAGGAGTGTGCGGTTGGGTACTACAATTTCCCGTCTTGCTTGAGTAAGTAGTGACTGCACTCCTTTCTTGCACTTTCTTGCACATAGCTGGGCCTTGTGCATTAACTCCCTAGAGCACGACAGGCGGGGCGGGGGGCGGGGCGCACCCGTGGAAATGGGGTCAGATATGCTGTATTTTCATGGAAATGTTTCCGAAAGTTCAGAACATAAAATTTATATGAGTATATTTTATAGTCAGTTGTTTATGTCTGGTGATTACGTTAGGTTGTACCATAGGATTATCATCCCAGTAGGTCAGAGAGGTCAAATATTGGCAATTTCAACTTGACAGTGATCCATGCATGTGATTTATCTTCAAAAAGAACCTGGAAGAAATGTCAAGGGTACCAGATGCTTGTTTGCATATGTATTGTTTTGGGTGGCGGCAGGGCTGGGGGGGTGGGGGGGAATGTTTCCCCTTTCCCCCACTGTGTGATTAGGCCAGGTTATCATGGGCCCCACCCCTCCCCAGTGCACTGATTTGAGCCAGTATCTCAGCATCCCTGAGAGAAAACAGATGTACATGTACGTGGTAGAAACACCACAGGACATGCAGCAGGAGAGTCTGAAACCAGCCCTGCAAATGCAAATTGTTACAAGAGCCATGGTTCTGTTTGTTCTGCAAAAGTGTAAACGCTGCGCTTTTGTGTTAGGACAAAGAAACACTGTTTGAACCCTTCCACCTCCCCACCTCCCCTTCCTGCCAGCGTTGCACTGGTTTTTGCTCTTCCAGCTCCGCATGGCAGGAAAAGTACACTGAGCCGTGGGGACTTGGCGAAGGGACACGTGTGAATGGAGTGACTGTATGCCCTGGCTCACACCTGCTTTCCCAGGAGAACTCTGAACCTAGCACCCCCTTTCACCATTGAGTATCCTGGTTGGAGGATGAATTATATGATCATCTTGTATTTACAGAAGCCAATTTTTTAATGTTTTATTTATTTATTTATTTATTTACTTTAGAGAGAGAGACAGAGATAGCATGAGTAGGGGAAGGTCAGAGAGAGAGGGAGACACAGAATCTGAAGACAGGCTCTAGGCTCTGAGCTAGCTGTCAGCACAGAGCCCGACGCGGGGCTCAAACCCACGAACTGTGGGATCATGACCTGAGCTGAAGTTGGACACTTAACGGACTGAGCCACCCAGGCACCCAGAAGCCAATTTTTTGTTTTTAAGGAAGCTGTTTTTAAGCCCAAACAAAATAACACTGAATTGAGGTTTAATCAGTTTAGAATCTGTAATTATTAGATTACAGGCCGAGCAGAAATCGCATTTGCCTTTTTAGTGACAAAAGCAAACAACAAAAAACAAAACAAAACAAAATCCCTGAAACAATTTTATGGCATAAGTCAAATTCTAGGGGGAAAAACTTGAAAAGGTAATTTTTAAAACCCCTATTTTCTTTTTTTTCTTTTTTTATTTTTATTTCTAGGAGAGAGAGAGAGAGACAGCGTGAGCAGGGGAGGGTCAGAGAGAGAGGGAGTCACAGACTGAAACAGGCTCCAGGCTCTGAGCTGGCAGTCAGCACAGAGCCCGACGCGGGGCTCGAACCCACGAACCGCGAGATCATGACCTAAGCGAAAGTTGGATGCTTAACCGACTAAGCCACCCAGGCGCCCCTTAAAACCCCTATTTTCAATTTTAAGTTAAGAAAAGCAATAAAGATGCTGCAGAAACCAAGCTCATCCCTGCTTAGACTGAGACCTAACTATTGTGAGCATAAAGATATCCATTTCAGTTCACTTAATATACAAATCAGAATGGCTGACCAGTCTGGTTTCAGTCGCTAAGTGCATTTTCAATAGAGCAAGCAGTATTGCCTTTCTCTAAATTAGGCTCCTCATGTGACTTTTCGCTAAATTCAAAGGGCTTCTTTCTTGTTTGTGCAATGTAATGTTTTACTTAATATCTTTAATACTTAAAGATTAAAAACCTTTGTCTTTTTTTTTTTTTTTAATGATTTTTCTAGGAATTCCCATTTTCCCTCTTTCTACTCCAAGTCCAGAAAATTCAGTAGCTGGAGATATAAAAGGCAAGTACCTTCTCTTTTGGTTTAACTTCAATGGAAATGTTACACTCCAAATTATTTTTCTACTTCCTCTGCCTACTAACTATTGTGCCCAAGTTCAAATGGTCCTGACCGGATCACGGTGGGTGCTTTGTGGGGGTCTCCTGTTTCAGGTCCTCACCACCCAGCATTCTCCGTCTCAGTCTGTCTTTTGCAGGATGCTACCTGATTAAGGAGACTAAACAGAGTTTGAATTGTAGATCACTTGCTCACTCAAAACGAGTCCAGTAGCAGCCAGTTGCCGACTGTCTTACTTGCGTTCTACATACAGAGACCCTGAGAAAAAATTGGAGCGCAAGCGTGTGATTCGGGATACGATCCCGGGAAACATCAGTAAGAGAGTAGGTCAGGCAGTGAAGGGAGCCATGAGCAAGCAAGGTCCTACTGCAGCGCCAGGAGCCACATTCCCCGAGGCAGCTCTAGGCGCCAGCAGGATCTTGCTCAGCATTATCCCAGCTGAAGGGGTACCTTCAGTGACCTGCCATCAATGGAAGGTGGCTTTTGGGCATTAACTCCGGCACTTCCAGCTTGCTATGCTGGAAGGCCAAGGAGCTCCTCCAGCCAGAGGGTGCCCCTGGGCAGAGAGTGGCAGAGGTGCGCAGGAAGCAGCCTTTGGGGTAGAGAGGTGAGTGCCGAGAGGGTGTGGGTGTTACGCCTACCTAACCATCCTGCAGGTGTTTTATGGTCACCCCTTATGTGTTCAGCACCCTTCTGTGTGCTGGAAACTTATCAGTGAGCAGAATAAAGAAAGATTCCCAGCCCTCCGACGGCTTATATTCCAGCGGAGGGTCTCCTACAAAAATAATATATAAACCGCTAAATAAATAAAATCTCTCTGTGTTAGATTATGATATGCCAAGTTGTGTGCTGCACAAAGGTGCTATTTTTAAGAGGGCGGGGCTTTCACTAACTAACTAACCCATATGAGGCATATTCTAGGTCTTGAGGTTTGATTCTGGAGCTGAGGGCAGTTTCTTATGCAAACCCGTAATGGCACACACACGGGAATGCACGCTCAGTGAGGCACACGGCGCTGACATGAGGGCACAGCACATGTACACAGCCCGTGACCGTGTCTCTTCTGGATCATGTTCCCATCACCACCGAGGTTCTCACCCCCTCCCCCCAGGGTGCGAGTAGCAGCCTGATGGTCACGTGCTCATCTCACTGGGGTGGAGATAGTGCCAGGTGTGTGTGAGCGCCTCGCCTGTGGCTCTCCTCCAGCCATGTCCAAGGCACGGGTGGGCAGAGAAGGGGCACTTGTGACCAGACAAGAAAATGGTCTCTGGAGAGCTCTCTTTGGCAGAAGGTTTCCATTCCTGCAACACTACAGGTGTGTTGCGGGTAGCCTTGGCCATGAGTGTTGTGCAGAACTGAAGTCTGGGAGAGAGGTGAGGGAGTGTGAGGTTTGCAGATTTAAATAGGGTAGTCGAGGAGGGACCTTACTGAAGAGATAAGCAAAGACCTTAGGGGATGAGGGGTGAGTTCTGCAGGTATCTGGGGACGAGCATCCAGACCCAGGAAAGAGCCAGTGCAGAGTCCCTGGGGGCAGGGGGTGTTCACGGAACAAAAAGGAGAGCAGGGCGTGAGAGCGGAGTGAGCATTGCAAGAGAGGTAAGGAAGGGAAGTGCTGGGGGCCAGATGGCCCGCCTTTGTCACCCACTGCAAAGACGTTAGTTACCTTCTGTTCTCGGAGAGGAGCCATGGATAGTTTGCACAGACAAATGATGTTGCATAAGGGACTCTATGGCGACTGTGTTGAAAACCAGTTATAGGAGGAGAAAAGAGGAAGCAGGGAGAGGCCCTGGAAGGCTATTGTGACAGTCTATGAGGGAGAGACGGTGGTGGCTCAGAACCAGAGGCATCAGTGGAGGCGACAGGAAGTGGACAGTGTGGCTATAATCTGAAGACAGAGCCGACAGGACTTGCCAGGGGTTTGCTGGCTTAGAGATGGGATATGAGAGAAAGCGAGGCCTCGGGGGTGATTCCAAGGCTTCTGGATGGAGCAAACAGGAAGAAGAGTACCGTTTATTGAGGCAGAAAAGGCTGCAGAAGACAAGGTGAAGTGCAGGGCTGGAAAGGGGGGCAGGTGGATGCAATGGTGGGAACTTAGAGACACTGTCTTCTGGCTGTTCTTTTTATTCTCTATGGAATGAGAATCAAGGTCAGGGGCAGAAGATGAGGTTAGGGAGGAAGCTTTGAGGTTGAAGAGACAGGAGGTATGTTAAGAGTCATCTCAGAATGTGGGGGAGAGAGTGGGCTTGGGGAATGTCCTGGAATTTGGGGGCAGCACAGGGGATTCACCTGAAGCCAGGTAATGTGATCCAGTTTACCTTCCTATTTTCCTTCCTCCTCCTGCCCTACACGTACCCAGCCTCCTGTGGGTAAACCAGGGCTCTCTGCGTGGTTATGCGGGGTATTGTCCGAAGCCTTCACCGGACTCTTGGTCACTTGAGGACAGAAACTATGGTTCTAATTCCTGCAGTATCTCCCCTGCCCATAGCAGGCGGTATCCTGTCCCCAGTGATCTCTGCAAACATTCCCATAATGTCTGTTCATTGACTAGAATGGAACTCTGCTATTGAGCCTTGATTACACCACACATCTCGGGTTTTCTTCCACAGGAATGTTTTAGATCTCCCATTTACCATCTGTTTCCAGTAATCCTTTTGTTATTCAATTCTTTTTCTCCCCCAGTAGACTGCTGGTGACTTCAGGAAAAGAAATTTAATTGAACTTGAAGAGAGGTTCAGACATCTGTTAGAAAATACAGGGAAGCCTTAGAACACAGCCTCAAGGAAAAGTTTCAATGAATGCAGTGAGATCTATCTGGGAATTTGAATGCACAGATATCACTTCAATTTGGTCTTTGATTATTGCATTTTATTTCACTTAAAAAATGTTTATTTACTTATTTTTGAGAGGGGGAGTAGGGGAGAGGCAGAGAGAGAGGGAGACCCAGAATCCGAAACAGGAACCAGGTTCTGAGCTGTCAGCACAGAGCCCAATGTGGGGTTCAAACTCACGAATGGCGAGATCATGACCCGGGCTGAAGTTGGATGCTTAACCAACTGAGCCTCCCAGGTGCCCCTTTGATTATTGCATTTGAAAAACACCCAGCTGGGGGCTCATCCTGTCATGATCTCACGGTTCTTGAGATGGAGCCCCAGGCAAGGCTCTTTGCTGACTGCTCAGAGCCTGCTTGGGATTCTCGCTTTCCTCTCAAAAGAAAGAAAAAAAGGAAGGGAGGGAGGGCAAGAGGAAGGAAGGAAGGAAGAAAAAGAAAGAAAGAAACATTGAATAAAAATAAAAATAAGCACCCACTTTGCGGCCTGACTTGGCAAGGCACATTAGAAGGTCAAACATGTCAGCTGCAGGCGATGCAGAACCCTGGATAACACTGAGCACCCTCCCACCCTTGAGAATTTGAATTCATTAAGGTCCATTGACACTTTCCTGTTTTCTAGTACAGTGGTTCTTAAACAGGGCCGTGGTTTAGAATCCCTTGCTTTTACAAAATAGAAATTCCTCTGTAGCATTCCCGATCTTAATCTGCCTTTTCCAGGATGAAGTCCAGGCTTCTCTTTTGAACAAGTTTTCCAAATGATTCCGATGGATGTCTCTTGTTAAGAACCACTGCTTTAACTACTAAAAATCCCACTTAACGGTTGGCAAACTTTCCTGCAAAGGGTCAGACGGTAAACGTTTTTGGATTTGTAGGTGAAGCTGCAAATAGTCAACTTCGCTGTTGTACCAGGAAAGTGACCATAGACAACATGTAAATGTGAGATCTTGGCTGGTGTCCCAGTAAAACTTTAATTGACTGAAAGAGGGATGGGTTTAGTTCTCAGGCCATAGTTAACAGATTGTGGAATTAGATCAGAATTTCCCAGGCAACTGTATTTTCCCAGGAGATTCCAAAGTGCAGCAGAGACTGAGAACCACTTACCTAGAAAATCCATATGCTCAGTTCCAGACACAATGACTTGAAGCGAAAACAACAGAACAGTTTTGCAGATCAGAACGTTTGCAGGATTGTTTTGTTTTTTCGTTATATTTCATGACTTTGGATATTATCAGGGTTTTCTGGGTCCAAGTGTTTATATCCAACTTAAGATTTATTCCTAGTAAATCAGTGTATAGTCGACACATCTTCAAGGGCTCTGTTTGAAAATGACAGCAATATGTGAAACATACACTCTAGAGGGACACTAGCCTGCAGGCATGTGTGCACTTTTATGCATCCAAGTTCAAAGAGCAGGGACCAGCAGAAAAACAGATGCAGAAAGACTCCAGGTGCTTATTTTACCTAGGAGATTGAGGCAAGCTGGGGATGATTATGGAAAGCCGCCCATGTGGCCTGAGGACATGGGTGCCCAGGGGGTTTCTTGACAAATATCATAAAGAGGGTTTGATTCTTGCAGTCACTTTATAATTAGCAACATGCCTTTGCCAGAGCTTTGAGGTCAGTGTGGTTGAGGCTGGAGGACATGCTAACAATAGGAGCTCAGAGGTCGGGGTGGCCGCCGCTGGGGCATGCTTTCCTGGCCATGTCCTTCCTGGGGCTGGGCATTTGTCTGCTTGGCAGGGTGGGCAGTCACTGTTGTCATGGAGACCTGTCAGCTAAGGCTTAAAGATGGACGGGCACATTCTGATATCTCCATTTGGAGGCTCTTTATGGATGCCAGTAAAATGGAATTCAAGGAATTGTGTTTACTAAAACACATTGAAGATGTTCCAGAGAATATTTAGCATCTTCTTCATTCATTGAACTTTCCTCATGTGCCTGCTCTGTACAAGGCACTGCCTGTCACACAGTCCCCACTTCCTGGAAGTTCCTGGTCCTGTGAAAACACAGGCAGGTAAAACCCTTACAGCAGTAGGAGTTCATGCTAAGTCTGGGTGAGAACACAGAGCTATCAAAGCATGCAGGAGAGGCATCCTTACAGAATGAAGAGAGAGAGGGAGGAAGGAAGAAAGGAGGATGGTAGAGCCTGGAGGAGAGCCCGTCCCAGAGCAGGAGAAACAGCTGAGTCTTGGAGCATGAAGGAGTTAGCCAGGCAGAGGGACAGCTGCGAAAAGGCACAGGGACAGGAGAGGGGAGAGCAGTGGGTCCCTGGTGCTGAATCGGGGGAAGGCAGAAGAAGTTCAGGGGGTGGAGAGGATCAGGGAAAGATCAGAGTGGGCAGCCAGGCTCAGATGTGCAGGGCATAGGATGCAGGGGCACCATACCTGTGGAGGACATGGAAGATTTGTATATTTGTGGTGGCCATTGTACAGCAAAGGTCAGGAAAGCATCTTGACCAGGGACACTTTTTCAAGTTTGTGCAAAGGTGCTGCTTAGGCTGCTGGCAGCCTGGTGGGTTTTGGAGGGGTTACTACGTCACACATGTCAAGGACTTTGGGTTGTGTCCTGAAAGCATTGTGTCACCCTTGAGGAATTCAAACTGGAAAATGACATGAGATGAAAAGGCTGGCACTTTAGAAAGATCTCTCTTGATACCCGCATGGAGAATGGATTGGAAGGAGGGCAGGATGGAAAGCAGACAGCCTGGTTAGGAGGCTCTCAAAACAATCTTGGCAAACAGGGATAAAGCCCTGAATGAAGACTCTGGGATTCAGGAAGCGGTGATAGATTCCAGGGACTTTCCTGCAGCATAATCATTATGACCCAGTGGTGAGGTGCGGGAGGTGAGGGTCAGGGAGACGTGAGGGTCCCTCATGGTTTCTGACTCTGGGCAGGACTGTTTGCTAGGTAAGGAAGAGGAAATGTTAAAAAGTGATTTTCAGAAATGACTTTTAAAAATGCACAGGTACCAGATGCTTTCTTTCTGTTCCAAGATGGTTATAACTCAGGATTCTTTGGCCCTCAATGCTAGTGGTAAAGTTCAGGTTTCTTACTGAGTTCCAGTGCTTGCTTTTAATGCCTAGACTATAATCGACAGTAAAGCTTTCCCTTCCCTGTAGACACGGTGGTCTCAGCTCACATGGTGGTCTCGGGGCTTCTGGAGGGAGAGACTAGAAACCGCAAAACCTGTTGTGACCGGGGCTCAGAAATCACATCAGAGCACTTTCACTTCCTTATGTGGATCAGAGCACAAGTCAGGAGGCCATTCAGTGATTTCAATCATTAAAGTGTCGTGAAAGACCCACCCAGCAAGGGCAGAGAAGAGGGGAGGGAAAGGGGGAGGCTGCTTGTGCAGATTGGTTGGGAAAGACCTTCCCAGGAGAGGACGAGAAAGAACTGGAGAAGGGCATTACAGGCAGAGGGAACGGGCAGAGCAAAGGTCCTGAGGTGGCAGAGCACATGTTTGAGGGACTGGAAGCAGCCCCACTGCTGAGAAGGCCTTGGGCCTCGAGGATGAAGTGAGGCTACCCAAAGTGTAGCCCCCCCAAAGCCATGGCTGGCACATAGTAAGGCTGAATTTATGTTAGTTTCTTTTCTTCTAATAAATGGAAGGTAGAAATATATTTGATTCAAGATTGTCATTAGATAGGAATCTATTAAATTGAAGTTTTACTGTACAAGGCTAAGGTTTGGTAAAAAACAAGGTGTTTCCATAGGAGTAGGTTTTTGTTTTGTTTTAGAGAGAGAGGGAGAGAGAGTGCAAGCAGGGGAGAGGGGCTAAGGGAGAGGGAGAATCCCAAGCAGGCTCCATGCTTAGCACAGAGCTCAATGTGGGGTTTGATCTCAACGACCCTGGGATCATGGCCCGAGCTGAAATCAAGAGTCAGACACTCAACTGACTGAGCCACCCAGGCACCCTTCCCCAGGGATGGATGTTAAAAGATTTAGCTTCTTTGCAAACGAGTGCCCACCCTACATACTTCTTAATGGCATCTCTGACCTTTTCTTGATATTTGTTTTTTTCCCTTGAATGTGTAGTGTTCTAGGTCAAGAATGTCTATGAGCCGTAGATAACTCATAATCTAAGTTTCCGTGACAAAACCCTGAGGGAAGGCAGAAACTGAAAAAGGAACGGAGGCCAGCGGCCCCCTCTGAGAGTCTCTTCTCGCAGGGTGTGACTGTGACCTGGAAGGAGTTCTCCCTGAAATATGTGATGCCTACGGAAGGTGCCTCTGCCGGCCTGGGGTCGAGGGCCCTCGGTGTGATGCCTGCCGCCTGGGTTTCTACTCCTTCCCTATTTGCCAAGGTAAGCGGACCACATGTAGCATAGTGACCACTAGTCCCTCCAGAGCAAATGCACAGGCCCTTGCTGCCACAGCTGTGTGGCCTGCGGTTTAATAAGTGAGCCCCTGGCTTATATATTCATGTTACATGTGACCGTCTCCCTACCTGGGTCATGTCACCTGCCTTCTTTTGTCTTCCGCACCCTCCCCCTCTCTCTCCCTGGTGGTGAGCACATGGGCTCTGGAGCCAGTCCTGGGTGCGAGTCCTGGCTCTGGAAGGAGCTGGTATCTGTGCAGCGTTTCAGGGCCTGGCGGCCAGATAAGGAAATGAGGGGGGCCAGCAAGCATGAAACTACTGACTTTTTCCCACCCTCAGTTCTGTGTCGTAGTGCCTCGCCCTACCTAGTAAGAGTCACGGAAGGGGATGGAGAATGGGAGGAGGAGGTGTCTGGCCCAGGCCCTAGGACAAAGTAGCAAGGCAGGAAATGCTGGGTGAATGAGCAGATGGATGAATGAACTTGCCTGAGTGCTTCTCTGCCTGCTCTCCACTGCCTGCCCGTGTTCTTCCCCAAGTAGGGAAGAGGAAGGGAGAGAAGAAGAGAGGATTATCAGTGGGTGCTCAAGGCAGGGACTAAGCACCACTCCAGGTATTATAAACAGACAGAGACTTGCTCTAGGTACTTAGGTGCTCAGCTGAGTCCTTCTAGGCTGAGCAGCAGGCTCCTGGCAGGGGGACAGGAGGGGAAGAAGATAAACTACCTGCCTGTCCTAACCCTCCTCTTCTTGTTTTTGCTGAAAAGACCTCCGTCTCCCACCATAAGCTCCTCTGGGCCTGAGCCATCATGGACCCCTGAAACATAAGGTCTCTACTCCCTCTCCCTCCCACTCGTTCCTCACTTTGTCCATGACAGACTCAGGGTCTCCAGCTTAAAACAGAAATGCATTCGTCCCCAACTTGTGTGCAAAACTTCGTGATTCAGGAGACCTTTCCCCAGAAACAATATCATGAGCGAGAACGATGTCCTGATGCCAGACCGCGGAGCCAGTTTAGAAGGATCTACCTCTACTACGATCCACGCAGTTCAAACCTGAGAATGGCCCTTACTGGTATTTCCATGAGAAGCGCACTGGCCATCCCAGCTGCCACTACCGAATTTCTCTAGTTGATGGACAGCTTCCGCGGTTTCTATGTAGTTTTTTCTTTTATGTTTTTGTTTTATTCCTTTTTTTTTGTTTCTTTTTTATATCATTTGTTTTTTGTTTCTTTTCCTCTTCTTTCTTTTCTTTGTCTTCTTTTTTTTTTTTTTTTTTTCTTTTTTTATTTTTTTTTTTTTGTTTTTTTTTTTGTCTTTTCTTTTTGTCCCATTTTTCTTGCTTTATTTGTTTTTTTCTTTTTTTCATTTTCTTTCTGTCTTTTTTTTTTCCTTTTTTCTTTTTCTGGTTTTTTTGGTTTTCTTTTTTTTTTGTCTTTTTTTTTTTGATTTCTTTTTTTTGTTTTTTTCTTTTTTTTGTTTTCTTTTTTTTTTTGTCTTTTATTTTTGTTTTCCTTTTTTTCCTGTTTTTGTTTTTTGGATTTTTTTTTGTCTGTTTGTTTTTGTTTTTATGTATTTTTCTTATTTTGCTTGTTTTTTGGGTCTTTTTGTTTAGTCTTTTTTTTTTTCTTTTTTTTTTTTTTTTTTTTTGTTTTTTTTTTTTTTTTTTTGTTGTCTTTGTTTTGTTTGTTGAGGTATTGTTTCTTTTTTCTTTTGTTTTTTTTTTGTTTCTTTTTTTTTGGTTTTTTTCTTTTTCTTTTTAGTTTTTTCTTCTTTGTATCCGCGGAAGCTGTCCATCAACTAGAGAAATTCGGTAGTGGCAGCTGGGATGGCCAGTGCGCTTCTCATGGAAATACCAGTAAGGGCCATTCTCAGGTTTGAACTGCGTGGATCGTAGTAGAGGTAGATCCTTCTAAACTGGCTCCGCGGTCTGGCATCAGGACATCGTTCTCGCTCATGATATTGTTTCTGGGGAAAGGTCTCCTGAATCACGAAGTTTTGCTCACAAGTTGGGGACGATTGCATTTCTGTTTTAAGCTGGAGACCCTGAGTCTGTCATGGACAAAGTGAGGAACGAGTGGGAGGGAGAGGGAGTAGAGACCTTATGTTTCAGGGGTCCATGATGGCTCAGGCCCAGAGGAGCTTATGGTGGGAGACGGAGGTCTTTTCAGCAAAAACAAGAAGAGGAGGGTTAGGACAGGCAGGTAGTTTATCTTCTTCCCCTCCTATAACAGGAAAGCATTTTCTGTCTGCCTTTTGTTTTGTTGACACTCCAGTTATATCTTAAATGTGAATTGAGGGCAAGGAGTGGACAGAATGTCTCACGTTGATTTCCTAATAATCTGTTGACATTCATGTTCGTTCTATATCAGCTGCCATTGTGGTTGAAAGTATCTTAAAGCATTTCTTTCTTCCTCCTCTTTACCAGCCACAACTCCAGACTCATTCTGCTAGAACAAATTACTAATATTCCAACCTGGTCATTCCTTTGGGCAAAGCTGTCAGGTGGTACCTTTGTGTATACAGATATGAAGGTAGTAATACAATATTTTAAGAATGCCCTTTTCCACATTTCTTCGCTACCGGAATGAATTTATTTTGAGGTGAGTAGAAAATGCAAAGGTGTATGCAGGACCAAGTGGAGGGAGGTGGGACTTCCAAAATGACAGAGTAGGGAGCTCAGTGGACCTCTCTCCAACAAAACAAACCTTAACGGGTAAAGAATTTTTAATAATCATTTAAATTCTTTGGAAGTTGCCCTAAGAGCTAACAAATATTTCTTTAAGAAAATCTAAATATGGGGGCGCCTGGGTGGCTCAGTCAGTTAAGCATCCAACTCCGCCTCAGGTTGTGATCTCATGGTTCATGAGTTTCACCCGGGCATCGGGCTCTCTGCTGTCAGCGCAGAGCCTACTTACGGTCCTCTGTACTCCTCTCTCTCTGCCCCTTCCCTGCTCATGCTCTCTCTCTCTCTCTCTCTCTCTCTCTCTCTCAAAAATAAATATACATTAAAAGAAAAAGAAAATCTAAATATCAGTAAGAACAAGTCTGTGACATTTGAGCTCCGGTACACCCTCCACCCCAACTCTGTGTTGTAAAAGCTCTACCCTGGGCATGGACAGCCAAGGAGATGGGGGTTGACTTTCTTTCAAACTTCCATTTTGGGCCTATAGTTTCACACGAGGAGGGGCAGGTTGCCGGCATTTCTCATTGCCTACGGGCCCGTGCAGTCAGCGCTCTGTTCAGGCAGGCTCCGCAGAGGGGGCCAGGTCTTCTCTTTCGTCACCCAGCTTTACTTGCGTGGTGGAGACTCCGCACCAGGCAGTGCGGGCTAAACCTACTAGAGTGGATCCCCCCACCCCAGCTAGCTCGTAGAGTTGGGGTGTGGCCGGCCAAGGCGAGCTGAGACAGCCAGGAGCCGGCCCTCCTATCCCCAGTGCCGACTTGTAGAGCAGGGCTGTCGCCCCAGGAGGAGCGGGTCCTCATTTTCGAGTCGGCTGGTACAGTGGCTCTGCACAGGCAGGAGGAGAGCTAGGCCATAATGATGAGCTCTGAAGGTCTGCCTCGGGGAATTACTTTAACGGAGTAGAGAACCCCGTGCCTAAGGGTGTTGTAGCCAACAACCAGATCTTGGTGCAGAGCCATCGAAAGGATGCCGGGAGCTCTTGTATCAGTGCATCAGAGCAGAACACTGGAGCGACCGGAAGTTTCGTAGAGAGACTCGGAGAGTTCAGCCCGGAAGAGCGTTTCCGATAGCGCAGAAACGTCTGCGCGTTGTGAAGGTTGTGCGCATGTGTGAGACTGCGCCTGCTCGGGAGGAATCAAAGCGGACGGGGACAACTCGGAAACGTTCTCGTGCTGCGCGTGCACCGCCATTACCGTGGCGTGGTAGCCACCCTGGCAACACCGGTTTAAGCACAGCCTCTAACCGAACACTGACTGCACAAGCTGCTTTCACACACGGTAACTCCTAAGAAGTCAGGCTGAAGAATGATCTAGTAGTCATTTCGTGATGCCCCATGTTGTGCCCTCTCAGGGGTGATCAGAGGGGAAAGGTCCAAACTCGTAGTCCCTGGCTAAATGTAAGGAAAAATTGTAAGCTCTCCAAACTATGATAGCAGCCTTCAAGCTATACACATATGCAGTGGGAAAGGGTAACAGTCTGACCAGCCAAGCAGGTTCCAGGACAACCTTCAACCAATAAGCTGTTAGTATGGACCCGGGAGTGACGCTGAGGTATCCAGACCAGAAGATAAAAACAAGGGGGAAAATCTGAGCAGGAACTTCAGAGGCTGAACATTAGAAGGGAAGTAGACCTTGCCTAATAAGTTCAGCCAAGTCAATAAACATATAAATAACCAATCAAGCAAACGAAAACGATCCTGGTGGTAGCCAGAGTTGCTAGACTATATTAGCTAAAACGTCCAGCCTTCTGAAGAAAATGAGATATGCAAACAACCAAGGAAGTGTGACCTATACACAGGTAAAAAAACAGCCAACAGAAACTGCTTTGGGGATAACCTGTCGGGCTCAGTCAGTTAAGGGTTCAACTCTTGATTTTGGCTCAGGTCTTGATCTCACAGTTTGTGAGATTGAGCCCCATGTCAGCCTCTGCACTGATGGTGCAGAGCCTGCTTAGGATTCTCTCTCTCCCTTTCTCTCTGCCCTCCCTCCCAACTCTCCCTCTTTCTCTCTCTCTCTAAGACAAATAAACATTAAAATAAAGAAACTGCCTTTGAATGAGCTCAAGTGGTTTAGCTGATCAAAATAGCTGTTATAAATATGTGCAGAGAGGAAAAGGAAACCATGTTTAATTAATTAAAGGTGTAATGATAAAGTCTTATAAAATGGAGAATATCAATGAAGAGATAGAAATTATTTAAAAGAACCAGATGGAAATTCTGAGGTTGAAAAGTATAACTGAAATGAAAAATTCATCAGAGGGATTCAGTCATAGATTATCCTGCAAAGAATCAGCAGACTTGATGATA